CGTCGCAGGTGTCGGTCGTGGTGGTGGTGTGCTGCTGCGCTGTCCGCTGTTGCTGGGCTGTCCACCGCTGCTGCTGCCGCCGTTTCTGAGGTAGAGTTGATAGCCCGAGGCCTCGGAGGTAGAAGGTGGGGTCAGCAGGTCGAGTGCCGCTTGAATCTGTTGGTCGACTTGTGCTTGTTCAGCGTCTGCTTGGGCTTGCAGTCGTGCGTCTTCCTCGTCTCGTTCTTGGAGTTGTGTGTCGAGCTCCCTGGGGATGTCCACGTCGATGCTGGTGCCGAACTCGTGGGCTTGCTGTAGTTCGCAGTGCAGTCGCTCGCGCTCCTGTCTGTGTTGCTGAAGGTGCTCCTGTAGTTGGTGTTGGTGCTGCTCCTGGAGTTCGTTCTCGAAGCGCTGTATGTCACGGGAGGTGCCTCGAAGCCTGTCGATCTCGCTGTCGTACTCGCTCTGGGCCGTCAAAGTGCGGTACTTCTGAGCCTGGACCTGTCCGAACTCCTCCAAGAGTAGCTCCTTGGCATCCTGAAGCTGGTTCTGTTCAAGCCTCGCGATGTTGCTGATGTCCTGCTGAGCCTGAGCTTTCTCGGAGAGAAGACGTTGCTGTTGTTCGTGGCAGCGTTGTTGATATTGTTGGACCATGATCTCGGCGTTCTCGTGTAGCTGGTGTCGGAAAGTCTCTTCCTCCTGCTTCCTCTGGGTGATGAAAGTGGCGAGGTGCGCTGACTCTTCCTCCTTGAGCTGGTCGCGCAGGTAGGCCTCCTTCTGCTGGTAGTGAGCCAGGTTCTCCGTGAGGGATTCTCGAGCCTCGTGTCGGAGCCGCTCCTCGCGCCGTCGGAAGACTTGGATCTCTTCGTAGTACGACTGTCTCTGCTGGAGTTGTGCTTGCTGAAACTGTTCCTGGCAGTGTTGTAGATGTTGCGAAAGCTCCTGAATCTGCTCGGTCTGCAGTTGACGCTGTGCTTCCTGTTGATCAGATTCGGCACGTTCATGATGGAGAAACGCCAGATGGTGTTGGTGTATCCCGTGGTTGCGCTGCTGCTCATCCACTCTCCTCGTGAGCACGTCAATGAGTTTCCGCAGGTCGCTGTCGTCGTTGGTAGTCGAAGCAGGCGCTGGCTCGGACGCAGGTTGACGAACTAGTGGTCGCTGTCGTCCCTCAGGGTGTGGTGTTTTGCCCCTGACACGGTGGCGCACGTCATCTTCACCGTCCCCGTAACAACTGTCTTCCGAAAGGTCAGCATGTTCTCGATGCTGTTTGGCTTCGGAGATGAGTGCCTTGAGGGATGCGATCTCGCGCTTGATCTCGTCGTGCTCCTTATTGAGGTCGTGAAGCTGGCTCTCGACGATCTGCTGTCTCTGGATCCGTGACTCCACTTGAGATCTATATTGAGCGATGCGAGCCGTCGGCGTGTCCAATAGATGTAGCATGGTCTTGACTATGGCCAGCTCCTCGATCAGGCGGGTTGGGTCAACTTGAGCTTGCCTGGCTCCAAGGACTTGGTCGGCAAGACGTGCCATCCTCGCCACCTTGGTCGCGTGCCAGACCCGACGTATGTCTGGCTCGTCAGGAGGAAGAGAAAAACTTTCATGTTCCTTGGCATCCGAAAGCAAAGCGGGCATTACCTTGTCAGTGACCTCCAACTGTCGTTTCGTCATATTTTGCAGATGTCGGTGGTCGTTGGTGGTATCCTCGGGGGCCAGGCGGCGTCGTCTCGAGGGAGGCCTCTTCGTTCTCGCTGTGGTGCAGTCGTACTGATACTGCTGCTGATGCTGGGCGTAGTTGTGTTGCTGTCGGTCCTCGTCGTGGTAGGAGGTGTGGTGGTGCTGGTTGTGCTGGGGCTGGTACCGTGGCTGCTGCTGTCCATGCCCTCCGTGGTGTCGGCGGTGAGAGGAGCCAGATGCTGGTGTGCTTGACCTCCATGGCCACGGCTTGGCACCCACTGGATGACCGTGAGACTTTGCGTTGGCTGCCATCGCGCTGGTCTCGAAGTCCTGCAGCACGTTCTGCTGGGAGCGCTGGTGCTGCTGCGCGGAGTGGTGGCCGCTGAGGAGGTCGGCCGCCTTCACGACACGGAGAAGAGCCCGTGCAGAGGCTCGGCGTTCTCTCTGCCGCCTGTGCCAGGCGGGCTCCTGGGGCGTCGGGCCCCTCCAGGGCGCGCCGAAGGCGCGCGGCAGCCGCCAGAGGCCAGGGCGCGGCAGCGGAGGCGGCGAATCGCCGATCCGCGGCGCGCTGAGCCCGACCTCGCGATCGGCCTGCGAGGCGGGATCGATCGGGCGGCAGGCGCCGATCGAACCCGACCGATCGATCGGATCGCAGGCCCAGGTCGCCTGAGGTCAAATGGGCTTCCTCCTCCTCCTCCTCCTCCTCCTCCTCCTCCTCCTCCTCCTCCTCCTCCTCCTCCTCCTCCTCCTCCTCCTCCTCCTCCCCCTCCGTGACTTCTTGCGAGCAGTGCAGCGCGCCCGTCTATCCACGGGGGCGGCGCGTGAGCGCGAGGTGGCCGTGCCTCGCCTCGCGCAACAGAGAGGGTACCGATAGGGAACGTCCCCGAAGCGGCGGGACTTCTCGGAGGCCCTGGCTGCCTCAGCACTGAGGTTTCCCAGCGGCCGCTGCCCTTCCTGGAGGGCCATCGTCACCACGTCTGGATTCCAACCGAAGTTCTTGTCAGAATGCACCCTGGGACCCCCCTGGGAGAGGTCGTCTGAGGAGTAGTTTCACCCGTAGCCGCTACACGTCTTTAGTGTTGGTTCCCCCTCTGTTCTCTCGGCGGTGAATCGGACTTGTCCTTACTCTCCTCCTCCTCCGCTTCCTCCTGCCTCCTCCACCTCCACCTCTTTCTCCTCTTCTTACTCCCCCTCCTAGCTCCTCATTAGGAATGACACGCGGCAGAAGTAGGCATAAGTAGTGGTAGTCGTCTTAGTCGCAGTCGCAGTCGTAGTCGTGGCTGTCGTCGTCGTTGTTGCGCGGCGGGTACCGCGTGACCACATAATTCGTTACCCTCTATTGGTGGGAGTCAAACTTTGGTATTATGTGCGCTGTGTCTTCGGAAGGGAGTCGATGTTCTTTGGGTGCCTTCCGCAGGTCTCCCCCCAGTGCTCCTCGTGCATACGGACGCGACCGAGGCTCGGGGGCCCCCAAACGGGGGAGTGACCACACCGTGTGGTGAGTCGGTGGGGATTCGGGGTCACCGCACGGTTTTGGGACTCGGGTCGTTCTCCGAGGACGTATCGGGCGATTGGGGCATCCAGGGTCCCAAAACCGTGCGTTGACGGACCGTGCGGTGAGGTTTTGGAGGATTTTGAGGTCACCGCACGGTCGGTCGCCGCGCCGTGTCGGGACTCCAGAGAGGCTCAGAAGGGGTTTCGTTCCCTCCCTAAGGCCGTTCATGGCGAAATTTTGACTGTCACCAGGCATCAGCAACCACTATTAGGGAGCCGCATGCGAACCCTACCCCTACCCCCCACGGTTTCTGAGGGGGAGGGTGGGGTTCACTTCGCTCGGGAGCTCCCAGACGAAGTGAGCCCCACCCTCCCCCTCAGAAATCGTAGGGGGTAGGGGTAGGGTTCGCGCGTGCCCCCCTGACTATCACGACTGATGGCCTCAGTCAGTGTGGCCAGCCTGGTCGCTGCCAGGCGCTGGCGCCGTGGCCCCTTGGTGCTCCCTTCGCCCCCACGTGATGGGCCTGCTCTCCACCACCACCACCATGAGTTGCAGGGGGAGGGGGTCCTCCTCCTCTTCCTCCTGCTCCTCCTCTTCGTCCTCCTCTTCCTCGTCCCCTTCCCCCTCCAACTTGTGGTGGCGGTGGTGGAAAACAGGCCCATCACCACACACCCCGCCTGTCTGGCGACGGCTGCCCATGAGGCCGCGCGCACGGCCACGGGCGCACTGGCGGTCGAGGAGCACCCAGGCGTCTTCTGGGGCTGAAGCCACGCTTGTGTGGAAGGTGCAGCCTCGACGGTTTCGAGGAAGTGCGAACATGGATCAAGGTGCGTGGACCAGCGACGGGTCCCGTTCCCATACAAGTTTGACGCGCTCCGCCGCCAAAGCAGGCGGCACTGGCGCCGCGTCTCGGGTGGCAGTTTGCCCCGGCCCGTGCTGGTGTGTGCCCGGCAGTGGGTGATCCCAGGCGCGCATGGCGGCTCCGCGCACATCCGACCGCGCCCTGCAGGCACTGCCGAAAGAACTTGTTGCTTCGAGTGCGTTCCATGGCATTGTGTCTACACGCACCGCCCATGCAATCATGCATCGCGGTAGATCGTTGGTTGCGCTCTGCGCGCTTGCCTCGCGAGAGTTGGTTGACCAGGCTCAGCCTGTGAAGCGTGCCTGCGCCTGCGTGCCTGAAGGTCTGTCTGGTCTGTGCACTGGTGTTCCTTGGTCCTGGCATCGCTCGGACATGTGTATTTTTCTCTCGGCGAGGACCCTTGAAGACCATCCTGGACCATCGACAAAAAAACACGCACGAAACCGAAACATGCACGGGAAATGGACGTCCGAGCGACGGCAAGTGGTTGTGCCGTGCGCGTCTGTAATACCACGTCTGAGCGTGTGCTTAGTTTGACGTCCGACCATGACCCCTTGACGTCCGATCCGTGACCCTGGCGGCACCTTGCCCAGATCAGCCACACGACCCTCCTTCCGGCCGTCCTTGCTCTGCGGGCACGCGGCGGTCTTCGCACAGTTTCTTCGAAATGTGCACGCGCGTGTACCGTGCACGCGTGACCAGCAGCAGCAGCAAAAAGTGCATCTTTCATGGCGACAGCGGTTGGACTTACGCTTGCTGCAGCGGGTTCCGGGGGCAAGCCCGGGGGCATGCAAAGCCTGCCCATTCGTCGGTCCTTCTCTTGCGCACGTGGCCGAGGTGGGCCTGCTCGTTCCCTGTGCTTGCCCCCTCTGCTAACCTCCCATCTCCTCGTTTACCCTGCTCGTCCCTCCAGCTCCCTTGCCCTTTGCCTCCCCACAGCTGCATCCCCCACTTCGCCTCGTATTCCCTCGCCCTGCGAATGCGGAGGTGTCTCTCAAGCGCACGTGGAGGTGCGCCGCCGCCGCGTGCTGCAGTTTGTGGCAGACTAGCCGGATGAACAGTGGAGTGGTGGAGAGTGCAAAAGGAGTCCGCTCAAAATGAATCCCCAGGCCCTTTCTGTGGTCCACCTTGGCCAGGCTTTGGGGCCGCGTCTAGACGTGGCGACGATGGCCTCCAGAAACTCCCTAAAGCCTTCAAAACATAGACGTCGCCGTCGTCTTCATCGTCGCATGCACCCCTTGTCCTCCAAATATCTCTCTCACTCTCTCACTCTCTCTCTCTCTCTCTCTCTCTTCGTTCCTATCTCCCCCCTTTCCCTGTTTGAGGGGCTGCGCCGCGCCAACTACACGTGCCAAGCAATGAAGATGTACCCGCACGCTCTCGCTTAAGATTTCCCCACAATTCATTCAAGACTCACGCTTTGATCCGCCCGCCGGACCCGCCCGTTCGGGCCGCCCGCCTGACTTGCCTGTGACGGCAGGCCCGGCGGCTCGCTTGGAAGCTCGCTGGGTGTTTTCACGTCCCGCACGCCCCACCCGCCCGTTAGGGTCCGCCCGCGGGTCTGAATGCTGTCTCTTGCCTCCCTCCCTTCCCCCACTCCTTTCGTCCTCGCTTTTTTTTTGTCTCTCTCTCTCTCTCTCTCTTTCCCTCTCTCTTTCTGTCGCTCTCTCTCTCTCTTTTTCCTTTCTCATTATTCTTGCTCTTGTAGGGGCTGCGCCCAATACGCGTGGCAGGTCAGGAAGATGTACCCCCCAGAAGGGGTACGATCGAAGACGAAGAGGGCGGGCATCGGGGGTTTGGGATATACGTGGTGAGGTACGCGCGAGCAGATAAGAGCGAACATGCTTAGAATGATTGCTGTTGCTGCTGGCCTTGTTGTTGTTGCCGCTGCTGTTGTTGTTCTTGGTGGTTGTGGTATTGTTGTTGCTGCTGCTATTGTTGTTGTTGTTGTTGCTGTTGTTGGTGGTGGTGTTGTTGTTGTTGTTGTTGTTGTTGTTGGTGGTGTTGTTGTTGTTATTGTTGTTGTTGTTGTTGTTGGTGTTGTTGTTGTTGTTGTTGTTGTTGTTGTTTTTTGGGGGGCGCTTCGGCCGCCACCCGAAACGGTTGAGCGGGAGCCTCATATTCACCAACACAGATGCAACCAGCGCCGACGCGATAGCGCCACGGCGCGTGCAGGGTGCCCACTCACCCACAAACGTTTTCAGATGTTGTCCCCCACCCTGTTTTCTCGGCGGTGAATAGCACTGGTCCTAAAGCCTCCTCGCCGCGGCGGGGATGATGTTCCGTCCTTGGTTGGGCGGGCTGGATGATGGTAAGGGTTTCTCTTCCTCCAAAGGAATCGTAATACCCCCTGGGCTACCCCGCGCTAGTTTTGCTGAGGAGGAGGGGGAGGAAGATGAGGAGGAGGCGGAAGGGGAAGAGGAGGAGGAGGACATGGCGGAGGAGGAGGAGGAAAAGGAAGGAGTGAGAGGAGAGGAAGAGACAGAGGAGGAGGAGGAGGAGGAGGAGGAGGAGGAGGAGGAGGAGGAGAAAGAGACGAGCAGGAGGAGGAGGAGGTGGAGGATGAGGATGGGGAGGAGGAGAATGAGTGAAGAACGTATTAACTTCAGAATCCAGTTGGTTACTGTTAAGGATTCTTGTTTCTCGTCTTGGAAACGTTGCCAATCGTTCACCGTTAATGGTCCACTTTTAGTTTCCACGCCAACATGGAGACTTTTCGATTGCTGTCAATACAAACATCGCCGCGCGCGCGTCCGCGCGCGCGCGATTGGGTGAACCACGCGCGGGCGGGTCACCCAGAATCCGGCTGTTTCCCTTTTACGGGTTCAGTTCATTTTTTTGGCCAACATGGAGACTTGACCATTCTGGATAATACAAACACTTTCCATGCGCGCGCCCCTTCGCGTCCGCGCGCGTGGCGAGTTCTGTATGGTCCGCGGGAAAAGTCGCCGTGTTGGCGTGGAGGTCAAAGTGAACCCTTCACGGTGACAGAATTCGATTTTGGAGTTAGAGTGTTTTCCCAACGTGTTAAAAAAGTCGCCATGTTGGGCTGGAAACTAACAGTTGGCGGGGTAACGAAAGTGAAAATTCGATCGTTGACCGATTTGATTTCGGTTCTACATGCGCTTTTCAGGTTCTCGACATTGATAAGTTTGGCGTGGGAACTTAAGCGAAATAGCTCTTAATGGTCCCCGATCGACATTTGAAGTTGGGTAGTGTTCAAAATACACATTAATTAAAAAAAAGTCGCCATGCTGGCTTCGCACTAAAATGATGCCTTTCCGGCGACATATTGGATTCTGAGGTTAACATTCGGTTCCAATATTTTCAGGAGTAGAAAAGTTACTATGTGTAATGTGAGGGAGATGTTCGCGCAGTATTTCATTAAGGTTGCACGACAGATGCTTCGTCTTCATCCGGGAGTTGGCTCAAACTCGCTTGCCTAGCACTGCCTGGGAAAACTCCTGCTGGCGCCTGGTCGTCGCGCGCGTGGCGACGTTCGATTGGTTTCCTTCTATTGAGCGGAATGATCGATTTGGGGCCACCCTGCACGCGGAGGATTCGTGAGCATTTTCTCATGCGGACTGCAATGCAGGTGCGCTTCGCTTTGATTCGTAAGTTTCGTTTGGATTCGCGCGTTTGCTCCGACTCGCCTGCCTAGCACCGCCCGCAAAACTCTTGCTGGCGCCTTGTCCGCGCGCGCGGCGACATGGGATTTGTTTCTGTCTCCAGCGGAATAATCCGTTCGGGGCAACCGGAGCAGGGCATCTTCTTAGGAGGAATTCAGTAGGATTTGTTTCGTTCTGATTTGCGAGTTTGCCCAAACTCGCCTGCCTATCACATCCGGCAATCTCCTGCCGGCGCCTGGTCGGCGCGCGCGGCGACCTGGGATTCGCGACCCTCTATTGCTGGGCGGGCTGGATCATGTTCGGATTTGTTTTTTGTCTCTGGCGGAGAAAACCATTTTGTGCTGCCCTTCGCGCGGGAGGATGTGTAGGCATCTTCCCATTGTGATTGTATGATGATTTGCTTCGTTTTGATTTGCGAATTTGCTCATGCTCGCCTGCCATGCGCCGCCGGCGGATCTCATGCCAGCGGCTGGTCGGCGCGCGCAGCGATTTCGAATTCGTTTCCCTTCGTTGTTGGGCTTGCTGGATAATGTTCGGGGTTTATGTATCCAGCGAAATTATCCGCCGCGGGCCGCTCTGCGCGCGGGGGGATGCACGGGCATTTTCCCCCGCGGATTGCAATAGAACGGCGCTTCTATTTAATTCGCGATTCGTTTTGATGGGCTGCGCGGGGCCCCTTGAGGACGCCGCCCAACCGCGGATTTTCGAGGCCTCGGCAGCCAGCCTGCGCAGCGCGCCAAGTATGCTGAGGATGAAGTGCCCGTACCCTCACGCATGCTTGTGCGAGGCGCCTAAGGGGCAGCGGCGCTTGCGAGCCGCCGGCACTAGTGCCCGCGAGAGAAATGAACCAAGCCTTCTGATGGCGTTTTTTAAGAGGATGGAGTTTCCGAGGGCGTGATTTTCCGCGACTTCGCTCGGGCCGAGCTTCGACGGCCCTTCCGCATGTCTCCCCGCGGACGGCGCTTTGAAGGGTGGATTAGATGCGGGCCCCGCGGGGCCTGAGCTTCGGCAGTCTTTATGTTGGGGGAGCTGTTGAGGAAGTAATAGTAGTAGTAGTAGTAGTAGTAGTAGTAGTAGTAGTAGTAGTAGTGGTAGCAGCAGTAGTAGTAGTAGTAGTAGTAGTAGTAGTAGTTGTGGTAGTGGTAGTGGTAGTGGTAGTGGTAGTGTTAGTAGTAGTGGTAGTAGTGTTAGTAGTAGTGGTAGTAGTAGTAGTAGTAGTAGTCGTCGTCGTCGCCGTAGTTGTAGTAGGAGTAGTAGTCGTAGTCGTAGTCGTAGTCGTAGTCGTAGTCGTAGTCGTAGTCGTGGTCGTAGTCGTAGTCGTAGTCGCAGTCGTAGTAGTAGTAGTGGTAGTAGTAGTAGTAGTAGTAGTAGTAGTAGTAGTAGTAGTAGTAGTAGTAGTAGTAGTAGTAATAGTAGTAGGTAGTAGTAGTAGTAGTAGTAGTAGTAGTAGTAGTAGTAGTAGTAGTCGTAGTAGTAGTCGTATAGTAGTAGTAGTAGTAGTAGTAGTAGTAGTAGTAGTAGTAGTAGTAGTAGTAGTGGTGGTGGTGGTGGTGGTGGTGGTGGTGGTGGTGGTGGTGGTGGTGGTGGTGGTGGTGGTGGTGGTAGTAGTAGTAGTAGTAGCAGGTAATCGAAGTCGTAGTCGAAGTCATCTTAGCAGGATTCGTAGTCGCAATTTATTTTGTAGTAATAGTAGTCGTAGAAGTAGGAGTAGCAGCAGCAGTTGCACCGAGGATGAAGCTTCTGAGGGCGAAGCTTCTGAGGATGGATTGCCGGGGGGGCCTGCGCGGGGCCCGATCTTCAACGGTTGCTTTGAGGGTGAAGTTTCTGGGGGCCGTGTGTCTGAACGTAGATTTTCCGCGGGCGCCGCTGGCGGGCGCCGCGGGGGGCAATATATTCGCCCCCCTCGATTGGCGGGGCGCCGGTCCGTCGGCGAGGCCGCCGAACATTTGAGCAGTGCCACTTCTTCGGGCGGGGGGTCGGGCCTCTTAATACCTCCTCGGGTTAATCGCATTTGTTTTGACATTGAGATTCATGGGGTCGCGCGCCGGAGCACCACTTCGGCCTCGCGCCCCGGGGCGGCCCCCCCCGTCAACGTCGCCAGGGGAATTCGAGCAAGTGGAAATGCAGCTCCGCGCAGCGGCTTTCAGATCGCAGGCGTGGCAGCGCATGTTGATTGAGCAGGCGTGGCGACGCGTGTTCGTTGCGTTGCGAGCGAGCTGAAGTATTTCAATTTCACGCAACCGCCGAAAACTAACTCGCGCGCGGGATCGCCCCAAATATGTTCGCCAGCGTGGGCAGCGAGCAGAGCGTGTTAGAACAAAACCGCATGTGTTGTGCAATCTACGCGATGCAATCCACGCGCGGCGCAACCGGCGCAGTGC